CCAGTATCTCGGTTATTGACCTGGCCTTTTCCGTCTGTACTGTGAAATATTAAAAAGAGTTTTTTGCGCGATCCTCGCTTCTACGTCGCTCGATCACTATTAAAAAGCATCGGTCTGATATTTCACAGCACAGACCACACGCTCGATCAATAATCAGTTATTATTTTCGCAAAATGATTTTACGATTGGTTGAATGATGATGACGCTAATTTGGTTGGTTGAGCGAAGTGAAACAACTCCTCGTCTGTAAATCTCAGCGAACTTCGCATTTTTATACAATTTGAATTTATTAATAAACGTTAGGAATTAGCAAACATCATCGTGCAGACATCAACCATTAGCTTTTTTCTAATTATCTTTTTGGCGGATGATCCATCCATTTCTCCGTTTTTATTAATAAAATGTACACAAATCGATCATCAGACGAATTATTTTTCTTTGCCCAAGCTCGTCAAGACTGACATGCAGTTTGCCGCTACTAAATATCGAGCTATTCGTTTACTCAACAGTTCCAAGCTAAACTCCGTGCCTGCTCTTCGCTATTCCAAATTTAAAAATGCCAACGTTAATCTTTTGTTATATGCATGTAGCAGGCAGGGATGATAATGCCAGTAACAAAATGTTAATATATTGGTTGTGATTTATTTTTGATCTTTTTTTTAACAATGTATAGCCTAAATGAAGTTATATAGTAGCAATAAGATGATTGCATTAATGCTGGCTTTATATCTTACCAATTAAAAAGAAAATTTTTAACATGAATTATCGAATCGGCGACGTGCGTTGAATTTTAAAAAAATGTATTGTCTCTTAGTTATAACCAACATTGTTTCTGTTTTGCGAGCAATGAGAGTGTTAGACGTACTAGAAGTGCATTTATATACCTTAGTACGTATTTGCCTGAGACAAGAGAGACACATGAGGACTGAAAATCAACTGAAAGTTGTCTTTCCTTAACAAGTGTAATTGTCTATGTTATAGCCAACTCTGAACTGAAAATCAGATTGAATGGTTCAAGTAACAATATGAGTGGAAGAGTGGAAATCTATCATCCAACATTTGGCTGGGGCACAGTGTGTCATTACAGCAGCGAAGCTTTCGGTAGCGTCACCTGTCGTCAGTTGGGTTGCTCTGGAGCGACCATGATCAGACCCTACGCTTACTATGGCAAAGGAAGTGGTGCTGTATTGCTTTCTAATGTTCAATGCTCTGGTGATGAATCATTCATCTGGGATTGCAGTCATAATGGATGGAATAATCCTCCCATGTACTGCGACCATGGTCTTGATGTCAGTGTGGATTGCTACTGAGATCACAATCATTCAAGGACACTGGGTTAGATAATAGACTAGATTTCCTTTTTCTTGCTGCTTACATAGTTAATAATATATGGTCTGTAATTTGACTAAACGGCCGAGCTTCAATTGCATTAACAAGATAAAAAGGAGCTGGGACGCGACTGCAGAAAACAACGGCGACGTCTAGGATAAAATATCGATACTGCGTGACATGCGACCACTGCGCACTAACACATCCTAAGATGCCAATGACTGGTCTAAACATAAATCTAGTAAAAACATCACTGAAATTAAGATATTTCATACTAAAAAAATTACATACTGACTAAATGACATAAATATACGTATAATCAATGCATCTCTTCATTGGTTTAATCACAAAGAAAATTTAATCGACCACGAGTTTCGTCCGCTGTAAAAGAGATATAAAACAACACTAACTCCGAAAATTAAAAATCTGATATATATTTGGCGAAAAACTGTGAAAATTCTACCGTAAGAACTGCACCCGGCAGGGGCGTAACTAGAACGAAATTTGGGGGGGGGAGTGAATATTCATATATTCAGTTCTGTCCGACAGACTTGTTTTGCAAGTACAATAGCTTGCAATAGAAATCCGTCGGGTGGAACTGCATATACGAGTGTTTACAACCCAATTATCGTCCTATTTACGCCCATTGCACTTGGACTGGTCAAGGCGGTATCTAAGCGCCAAGGAGTAGCTCTTAAGAGAAATGGACATATAGGAAGATGAACACGAAAGGGAAACATTAGTGTGTTTAGTAAAAGCAAGGGATGTATAGTCCACACATAGCTCAACAAACGGTCTGGTCCCTTTGCTAATGTGATTCATTAGAGCACTGTATCTGTAGCGGATTTTATGCAAATTAGCCGCGGCAATGTATAATATTCACGGTATTCCTAGGTGAACCAGCCGGGAATCAACACAGTGTGAAAGGTTTAGTTCGTGGTAAGAGACACATCTGCACCATTTGCCTTGCTAACTATAGTGACGTCCGAGACTCATAGCGAGTAAAACGTGGGCTTAGAAGTTGCGTGTACAAAAGTAGGTGACAGGAAATTTCGGGTTTCCTACTAGCAATGATTCTTACGAGAAATGACCTTTCTCCTCGCTTCAAAGCTTTCAGCAGCAACCACCAGGGGCCGGTTGTATAAAAGTCTTTAGTATAAAAGTCTTTACACGTCTCTGATTCGTCAATTCTGTCCTTAACTACAACTAAAAATTAACTAGTCTTTTATACAATTGGCCCTGGAATGAAGTACTTTAATAAAAAAAAGTAAATTAGCTGGCGTGAAAAGCATGGCTCAGAAAAACCAGCGAAATTGATCTATGACCAGATCCAGCGCAACAAACAATCAAGAAAGCGATAAAAGAACACGCTTTTAGCTGCTACCAATCTTGCATGCACTAGTCAGAAATGTCAATAATTGCGGAAAGATTTTGATGTTCTTGAAAAAAACGGCTAAAATAGCATACCACTGATGACGCAGCCGGGGAAAATACTCATGTAAAGGTCAACGTACTTCTTGAACTTTGTTATTCTAATTTTCACAAAATGCGCAAAACAATTTCCAAGACGTTGCTATTGTATTCTGCGGAAGCGATTCCTGTTTGCGTGATTCGATCATATTATATATTTGATGTTTTTAATTGCTATGTCAAAAAACAATTTCTTCATAGCCACAAATCTTTCATAATCATGTTTATCATGACTTTAACAGGTTATAAAGAGTAATTTTGACGAGATAATCTCATCGAAATATAAGTTTGTTTTGCTAAACGTGGGAAAAATTTATGAAACGGCTTTAGTCGAGTTTTCAGGCCATATATTTAACTCAGGGACAGTGGAGCAGGGTTGGAAGGGGGGGGGAGTGGAGCTGGTGCTGAAATCAGTTTCCTATCTCATAGTCTTAGTGCAACAGCTTAATTTGCTGAATTTCCAAGTTTATGTCAAGTTGAAAAACTTTTCGAATGGAGTTTCTCCCGTGAAACCCAGGCCAAGATCCCCCAATTCAATATTTTCTCCTCTGTCCCGGTGATCCTTACAATGCTTCGCACTAAATATTGTAATTCTACGTAAGATGTTATCATCGTGATTAGGAAAGCTAAGCTTGATGTAACTGGCAATTCCAGTTGAATGCTTTATTAGACAGTTAAAGTAAAAAAGCCGTTGCACCATAAACATGAACTCAGTAAAATTTAATTTCATTAAAAACCTTTTCGAAAAATAAAACACTATCTGTTGTCCGTAATAATCGTAAAAGTTGTCTAGATATATCTGTTGCTGCAGCCAAGAAAATTTTGCTCAAACTCATAATAATATCTCAATACATATATTGTTAACTTTTGACGCTATGTACAATAATAAAAAGATAAAAAGGTAAAAGGTAAGGCAATTAAAAGTACTAGTTTCGTCCTTCGCTTCGGACCTTTGCAACAAAGCGCCAAAATCACAAATGGCGATTTGTTGCAAAGGTCCGAAGGACGAAACTAGTACTTTTAATCGCCTTACCTTTTATCTTTTTATAGTACATAGTGTCGAAAGTTAACAATATATGTGTTGATATATTATTATGAGTTATCGTAAAAGTTATAACAATATATTAAAATTTAAAATTCGGGATAATTAATGAACTGAAGTTCATTATGGATTTCGTTGCGAATGCTTTTCCTGCTGCAGGAATTTAAATGATAATCCACATATTTTGAAAAGAATTATCGTTCATGACAATACCATGTTTTGGCGAAATAGAAAGTAATTACTGATCATCACGCATGACAAAATCATGTTTTGGTGCCAAAGAAAAAAATATTGACTTTTGGTGTGCAACATTGTATAAACGCCCTTGTTTGTGGCTTGAAAAGGCATATTCCATATGGTGCAACTCGCTCTATATTTCATTGAGATTAGAATTTGTAGTTAATTGTATACAACAGTATTTTGTAGTCTTAGACGCGTTTGAATGAAAGATTGTCAGTCAGCATGTTGGTCAGTCAGTCTGTTTCTACTTTATTTTAAAGTTGAAGGAACTTTGTGTTAATGCTTATGAGAACTAATTTGTGTAAGTGATCATGGCTGATAATTGAAAGACGCGTCATTAGCGCTTATTTGATTCTTGTTCTTGTTATATTATAATCAATTATGTAATTAGTATAGCTCTGTCGTAACTGGCAGTTGCTATTGAATTTCCACCCAGTAAAAGTTTAAAAATTCCAACTTTCTTGTGTTGTTTTAATTCTGCTAAGTTATCTCAAACTGATGGTAATGTACTCGAGTAGTGGGTTACTCCATAGTATGGTTACTCTGACAGTTGCGTAACTACCAAAGCTTCAGACTGGGCCAACGCAGGGTCCTATGGTCATGTTTAAAATGGCCTCGTGTAAAGAATGTACTGTACTACCATTAGGTTTTATGGGACATGTAAGGTTATTGGGGCGAGTCTGAGCGAGCTCCATAGTTTGGTGGCTAACCGAGCTCAAGCGCGATGCATTATGGTGCGTAAGTGCGTATGTACGCGGAACTTGTTTTACAGTGATTTAAATCCTACCGGTCTTTCGCAATGCACCGGCTATTTTGAAAACATTCGGTTCAACTGCTATAAAGTGATTTACAGTAGATTTTGTCAAGGCACAAATGCAGATATTTTTGTTTCTACCCTAATCAATTTCTGAGTGATCAATGCGAAGTCCGGTTTCAAAAACATTAACACAACAAAGCTTTCTTTTGCGGGAAATCGACTACAAATTTGAGCCAATCAGGATGGATTTTGTTCCCTAAGCAACCAATCAGAGAGCGAGGTTATGCTGGTGATGTGATCGAGCCTCGAGGCGAATTCGAGAAGTGATGGTTAGAAATTTGGAATATAACTTATTGTCGAAATAGTTGTCTTAAAATTCGAGTCTACGGGAACGGGATTTTGACGAAACTATAGAAGAATATTATAGGAGGCTGTAGAATGCAATTACAGGTAATTTCAAGTAAAGATATGTCTATAAATGCCTCTTTATTTGAAGATATTGAATTTGACAATACTAGTCGATAGTCATATAAACAGTCTTCAAAATAACCAATACTGATCGCTGCCTTAAATGAGGATTGGTTTTGCTCGCTTTTTACCGTTAAATCTTCTTAATTTTTGTTCAATTTTGCCAGTCGAAGTTTCGTCAAATCCGTGCGCGTATTTTCAGTGTTTTAGAACTTGTACTTTTAGGGGCAAACGCGAAATTTTTAGCACGAGGGATGTATTTATAATTTCATTAGCACGAGGCATGTATTTATAACTACAAGTTTCGTTCGCTTTGATTGAATTTCTTGTAGTTCAAACAAGCATGTATTAATAAAGATTTTTGAGATTATTGCTCGCCCATAAAGCATGGTTACCGGTCGGTGGTTATTGCATGGTTAAGTGATTTGTGTAAGCTGGGGCCGGTTGTATCAAGCCCGTTTAGCTTAAAGGGTGGATAAGTTCAAAATAGAAAGCAAGTCTATCGCTTTATTCAAGAAGCAAACTAAATGTTTTTAACCTTAATACAAAGATACTGTTTACAACTACATATTCAGTGCATAATATTCAAGTTGTCTCATTCAAGAGAGTTGTAAGAGTGTCATTTAATTTTGACTTATCCACCGTTTAAGCTAAACGGGCTTGATACAACTGGCCCCAGGCCTTTAAAACAAGAATATTAGAGTTTTTACGAACTCTGGTGTCAAATCGATGGTTCTGATGCGGGAAGGCATTAGATAATCGAGGTTGACTTGACTTTTCAGTGAACAAATTTTAATCTGGGCAGTTAGATTGTATTTCTGTTAAATCTGTGCTCTCAAAATTGCATATATTCTGCATTAAAAATGTTTAAAGAATCATAATTGCTTCTATTTAAAAGCATTTATCAATTATCATGGATGAAATGTCAGCCTTTTTCACGTGAGATATCAAAAACACTTGCTTCCATTCGACACCAGTGGCTAAAATTTTGGGCTTGGAGCATATAAAAACTATTTACTTATATGTAATGGTTTCTGAAATCTTTTGGCTGTCCTCAAACCAAGTGAATAGCCTTTCTTACATCCTGGACGGTGTTCTAATTCATATGAGAAGGTGCTATAACCTATAGGTATAGTTGATGAACAGTTCATAGTCACACCTATAGGGTGTGGGGTATATGCCCCACCACTTGGAGTGCAGGATTAATTAAATCCTGCAAATATATATATTATATTCTGCCAAATCCACAAATGTGTGGACATTAGTTTCTTATGAGCATATATGTGAAATGTCAAGACTTGGGTGCATATGAAATTGGGGATATCTGTGGTGGTACCAAACTGTTGTGTTTTATGCAAAGTCTGATTTATAATACCTCGTCATTGTTGTATAACGACCTGGACCAAGGTTCGGTGCTCTGGGTATTCGCAGCTGATTACCAAATCTTGTTGGTGGAACTTTTAGTGGTAGAAGCTCACGATCTAGCGTTGTGCCAAATGCTATAGAGGATTTTCCTTTAAAGAAATTAAGAGCATTGATCAAAGTCAACATTATTTACAACATCTATCTCAGAATGTCAAAATTCTACTGGATAGCTCAGGATAGATTCTACTGAACAGTTTTAAACTGTTCTTTCTAGAGATCAGTAAGGATCATCTCTTATTGATCCAGTGCACGTGTTACTACAGGAGGAAAATACTTAAACTAAACTTACTTTATTAATTATAATAGATCTATCAGTTCGAAACTGTTCTTCCTAGAGGTCCAGTAAGGATCATCTCTTATTGATCAAGTGTTACTAAAGAAGGAAGTCTAAACTAACTGTATTTATACTAGATAGCTCTATCAGTTGATTTAGTTCTAAACTATTCTGGTTTCGTTACTTTCGAAGAAGTTCAAGAATCAAGACTGATATATTGTGTTCAACGATAGCATTATTTTATATTAGAGATTGTTCCTACCTTCCACAGCACGGGTCATTGCTCACAGTAACTCAAGACAAAATCATACTTCACGGCAAAAACCAACAGTTCATTTTTAATAATTTTACATTATAACTTTCTTCTCTATGTATAAATTGTGACAACCACGATTGTTTTTGTTGACGTTTTGTTGCTATAACAACGAAAGTACGACGAGTCACGAAGTCGGTTTCCGAACGCCCGAAGATATTCCCGCGGGTTTCGTGGATTTCGCGTGTAAGCAAAATGAGCGAATCTTCCTGAGATTTAAAAGCAAAGTCGTTGAAGTTTGTCGGTTTTAAAACATAGAAGAAACCACGTTTGCAAGTAGAGATCATCTCTTAACAAAGATAAAGGTAAATATTACACTCAACTACCTGGAATATATCCTAAATACTCATTTTAAGCGGACTTTGTAATCGAGAATAAAACAAGATTGCAAGATTGATGCATGAATCGTGCTAAACAATGCCTAAATGCAAGGCTTACGTGAGGTTAAAAAGTTAGCAGCATATATTCGACTGGTCGCCTTCAATTTTAACAAAGCGTAAGGATTTAATTGTAGTAGCTGGTGGTTTAATTTATAACTTGTCTAAATGAGACTAAACTTTATTCATTTTATAATAATTTTCTTGTATGATTGCATGGCGACTTTAGTAATTATAATAACTTGTAGGTACACCACGTAAGTATTAAATACTGCAAAGCTTTCGGTCCGTTAACCCGGACCTTCATCAGTGCAAACGATAAGTTTACTGTCTCTCGTAAAATGAGAGAATCTATTGAAATTTATAAACATCAAACTATCGTCCAAGAGGGAAAGCCACTTAATAGTACGTGGCGTGCTCTTTTCGGTGTCTCTTAGTCAAATACTTGTCTAGGGCGCGCGCATTAATTAGAACTTAATTAAATGAAACCGTTTAATTAATAGCGCGAGCAAACTAATCACGACTAACATGATATTTAAGTGACGCGCAAACGTGTATTCAAGTAATTGCACTGATGAAGGTCCGGGTTAACGGACCGAAAGCTTTGCAGTATTTAATACTTACGTGGTGTACCTACAAGTTATTATAATTTATTCATTTTGTTCAAATATTGGTCTTATAACACACATGAAGTTTGGAAAATACTTTGTAACAGTATAAACATTTTATTTCAGCTCTTCTGCCTTAGTGAATTGATATCAGAACCTGCATTGATAGCAGTTGAATAACTGAAGCAGCTATCCTGACAAAATATGTTATTATGAATAAATAAGACAGTAGACTATGTGAATTTAATCTATTTAGTTTTTAACTAATATTTGTTTTTTATTTCACTATCCAGCATAGATGGGTGCAGCGAGGTCAGCACTGAGACGAAGTCTGCGTGGCCCAGGGCAGACGCAAAGGCAGATTGATAAAGTTTTGGATGGCCAACCTTCACTGGCACCAAAACATGAAACTACAAAAGACCTGCTTGATAGTGCAAAACAAGGTAAGGATTGTTAGACTTTATTAAAAGTTTAATATGCCCCGATGGAAAGCCATTTTGTCATTGTATAATGAATAAACCGTGTTTAATGATTTTACATTTGAGTTAGTGGAAGAGTAGGTATTACTGTCAGTTAATATGAGTTAACACAACTATCTGTCAGTGTCTCTTGTTAACCCATTAGCTTGCAATGCACCCAGATGTGACCTACTTTAGTATTCTACTCTGTCTAATGTCAGATGATTTTACTCATGATCATCAGTGGAAGAGTACTGTCAGTTAATGAGTTAATTAACAAAACTATCTGTCAGTGTCTTTTATATGTTAATTAACCATTATATAAGCTTTCTATACACACAGATGGGACCTACTTTAATAGTATTTTATCTGTCTAATGCCAGATGATTTTACTCATCAGTAGAAGAGAGCTGTCAGTTAATGTGTGAAAACTATCCATGTATAAAATTTAGAAAACCAAGCCAAATTTGATTTACATAACAAGAGAAGTGAAGAATATCTACAGCTCTTGAAACAAATCCGAGTGGACTCTGTTGACGTTCCTGACAAGGTGAGCATGTTTAACTTGTTTATTTCTTCTTTCGCTATGAGTGTAAAAATGTACTCACTTTTCCCATCATAATTTTTGAAGAACAACCCTCAGCCCGAAGATGAATCCTTGTCTCCAACGACAGCTACAACAAGGCTTAGCACTGAAGAATTGACATTGTTGTTTCAACAGCGAATGAAAACCCCAGATGAATGGACAGCAGAGAAAATTGCATCACATTTTAAACTGTCCACGAATTCAGTTGAGAACTTGTTGAAATACTACAGTGATTTTAATGTTCATGTTGCCCCGAAAATTCCGGAGCCTTTGGAAGAGATTACACATTGAATATTAGCCGTTTAAAGATTATTGTATGCTGGTATAAAATAGTATATATATTTTATCAGTTCTAAACTAGTTCTTCTTCCTAGAGGTCCAGTAAGGATCATCTCTTATTGATCCAGGGTTACTACAGGAGGAAACCTAAACTAAGCTAACTTTATTTATACTGGATAGCTCTATCAGTTCTAAACTGTTCTTCCTTGAGATCCAGTAAGGATCATCTCTTATTGATCCAGTGTTACTACAGGAGGAAACCTGAACTGAACTGACTTTATTTATTCTGGATAGCTCTGAAAGGTTTGTGACCTTTATAAATAACCTGTAAGTAACTAACTTTATCATTGAATAATAAAAGTTACTCAAATTTTATTTTTGTAAATCATTGATGGTTTTCAATAACTATGCGCAAAACATGCTAATTACTTGGCACGATTGCCTTCAGCGTTTTATAAAGAATTTGCCAAGTGAAAGCTTGTTATTTAAACTTCCTCGAAAGGGAAATATATTTCAATGGTTTTTGAAATATTTTAAAGTTCGCAAAGGGGAAGTACAATGCTACGAATCCTTGATGTGGACCGAAAAGGAATTCCTTGGGAATAAGGAGCTAACATTTGGCAAAGCGGAAGCACGACGTGACACCTTATAGGAAATGTAACAAATTTGTAAACATTCGAATTTCGTAATTCGAATACTTTCGTGGCTCGAAAATTCAAAACTGTTGCAATATAGCTACATTTTTAATCATCTTTGAGGCGTAAAACATGGTCAATAAAAATGCTCTTGCCTACGCAGCTGCTACGTTTGGATCTAGTATGATAAATTCAATTTTTGGATTCTTTTATGTGAAAACGTTCTTGAATATTTACAAGTGAGTGGCCATGATTTGTTCATTTGAATCATTCCTCTAAATTTATTCCAATGAAAGCTGTCGGTGGTTTGAAGTTCAATTTGATCTGTAGATTGACCATCAGAAACACATTACGATAACTTTTGAGCAAGTCTTCGTTAGAAATACAATTGAGAAGTCCATTCGCAAAACCTCAAAGGATTATCTGTATTTCTCATGTATATATATAGTTTATTTCAGAAAACAGCTCTAGAATATGCGTCAAGTTTGAAGGCAAAAATAAATATACACTAGATAACAAGCACTCCATAACAATGTACAAGTCATTGACATTATTGACAGGTCGAAATTCAATGATAGATTACCTACACTTATAACCCATTAATCATGACAATGAACTTTAAAATATATTGAACACTTTATGTATATTGTATTTAATTTTGGAAACTTGCTATGACTTTCTACGTATTTGCCAATAGTAAACTAAGATTTTAATTTTTGATATATAATTAATTGACCATCCTCATCTTAACACCAAGTCTATGACAGTCTAGCTAGCAAATAGATCAAGTTTATATAGTGATAGTTAAAGTAAATAATTTTGAGATGCAGCACCCTATCACTGCATGATGATATTAGGCCCGTGTTTACAATGAGCGTATAAGCTAGACCTTGTTTGAGGAAAATTTTTATAGCGTAAACCACAGGGGGTGCCAGGAATTCCCGACACAAGGACTAAGGTCCCCAACAGGGGGAGCTAGTAGCTGGACTTCTAAGTGCTGAGTGTTGACTGCCGAAGGTTTCAATAAAAAAACAACGATGAAAGTTCAAATTATATAGATCTGTTGTTTATTCCCAGACGAATTGTAAAAATTTCACTGACAAGGGGGCTGGAGTTCCCCGACGGGGGGGGGGGATGGTCTGTAACCCACTCTCTCCGGCACCACTCCTGGAGAAATTCTACCTTGCATAGCTAGCAAAGAAATCTAGGTCACTAATCATTCTAACAGGTTTACATTTTCCAGCTAATTAATATATATTGGTTTAGCTAATTATGAATATAATATAAATAATAAAAATCCACTATTTTTTATCTGATCAGAGAATGGTTCTGAAACATCTATTAATTGATCAAGTCTGACAATAATTGTTTGTAGTATATGTTATATATAAATCACTTCTGATAGTTTTTAATTTTTCTATTGTTTTTCAGAATAAATGGATGGTGGTTCAACACAGCCCAAATAATCTACATGATTTGGAATGCGGTCAATGATCCACTATTCGGCTATTTGCAGGTATGCAAGAAAAATGCATGATCTTGTACCATTTCAATGATGTAGTTTGTATTTGAACTGCCAGAACGTGGTGGGCCAGTGTACGTACCATTCTATCATACGGTGTCAGAGTTTGTGTCTGAACTACTGAAGAAAGATATCTCAAATATTGTGGTCCAGTGTAGGTAGTATTCTACAATAAGCTGTTGTGGTTTGTGTCTGAACTAACTGAGAAAGATATCTCAAACCTGGTGGTCCAGTGTAGGTAGTATTCTACAATAAGCAGTCCTGGTTTGTGTCTGAACTACCGGAGAAAGATATCTCAAATATTGTGGTCCAGTGTAGGTAGTATTCTACAACAAGCTGTCGTGGTTTGTGTCTGAACTGCCTGAGAAAGATATTCTCAAACCTAGTGGTCCAGTGTAGGTAGTATTCTATAGTTAGCTGTCCTGGTTTGTGTCTGAACTATCTGAGAAAAATATCTCAAACCTGGTGGTCCAGTGTAGGTAGTATTCTATAGTTAGCTGTCCTGGTTTGTGTCTGAACTATCTGAGAAAGATATCTCAAACCTGGTGGTCCAGTGTAGGTAGTATTCTATAGTTAGCTGTCAATGTCATGGTGTCTGAACTAACTAAAAAATATGTAAATTTTTAAATTTAAATATTCATTACAGGACAGTTCAAATATTAAGATATTTCGAGTGAGATCTTTGGCAGTGTTAGTTGGAGCCCCGTTATATGCCTTGAGGTATGAAGTTAAACATTCATATTGAGCTCAAATGTACTTGATTCCAAAACGTACACCATATGACTCATTTCCATCATTCAAACGTTCGAAATATTTTTTACAACCCTCTACCCTTTTTAAGCGTTTTAACAAAACAGGCGAAACCTAACATATGCCCGAAAACCTTTTGTACCAGCGTATATATTTATCGCTAATTTTGTATTTCGCGTTGCCAAGAACAAATTTCCATCATTCAAACGTTCGAAATTCAAATATTGTTTACAACCCTCTACCCTTTTCAAGCGTTTTGACAAACAGACGAAATAAACCTATTTAACGTATGGTATGCCCCGTAAAAGAGATTTTGTACCAACATATTTATCGCTAATTTTGTATTTCGCCATGATATTTGGCCATGGACCATGGTCGAGTATACCATATTCCGTTACATTCGACCAAGTTCAAGTTATACCATCTTCCGGTATATTCGATCATGGTCGAGTATACCGTTTTCCGGCCATACGAAATAATTTTAGACTTAATTTTTTTACTTCTTTTTAATTATTTTCATTAAAATAACTTTACAATAAACAACTCGCCGCCATTTTGAATAACCGCTTAGGTGATTATCGCGTAATAATCTCATGTGGCTCGACCAATCAGAGGCCAAAATTCCAATAATCACCTTTCAGTAATCATATTTGTAATTCTACTAAAATTTGTTATCTGACGCGGTTTGTCGACTAATGAAAGAAAGTCACTGACAATTACACAGTTTGGTGGGAGTTTTCCCTTGACAGTACCCCCCTCCCACCGCCCCTGGCCCTGGCAGAATAATTACCTACTTTCCAGGGCTGCAACCTTGCAATTCATTTCGACGCTTTCTTTGAAATCTACAGTGAAATGTTTAAGTTTGTTAGGGTTTAACTGTCACATAGGCCATATCTATTTAAGCTATTGCGAATAAGTCATTTATATTGCATTTTTCATTTTGTATAGTTTCCTAACACCATGGTTTCCACTGATCTCAGAACGGCCTGAGTGGATGGTTGGTCTCCATCTTCTTTTCTCACTTTGTTTCTTCGATTCGCTGTTCACCTTCGGTAATGCTAATTGTCAAAACATATCAGTGTTATTTAAAGCATTCGCGCTCTCTGATTGGCTAGTAGCCCTGTGAGAAATCGACATGTCTAACGTGTGACGTCATAACGTGTGACAATAATTGTTAATTAGCAAATGTAATGTTGATTCGAAAAGCTTTTTTGCATTTTACGAAAATATAAATTAGCTAGCAATTGAATTTTGTGATATTGCGATTAGCTCTTTTGAACTGTTGCGACAGATCTCGTCTCATTTTGCTGCCGCGATAAAAAAACTTTGTCCAATATCAAACCATTAAACCCATTCAGGTTTAAAGGGTCTTAATTTCGAGTGGAACCTAAACCTCTAGAATTTACCTACATTGAGTGAAATGGCATAGTCCATTAAACCCATAGTTTAACCATCAAAATTATTTAAACAGGCTTCAATCACATGGAAACGCCTCAGTTGTCCCTGAGCTAAAGTTTTATAGTTGACCATTAAACTATATCCTAACTTTTCTTTTGTATAATATATTCTCTAGTTTTGCTGGCTCATTGCGCGCTATTTACTGAAATTTCTCCATCAGCAAATGACAGAGCCCAGCTACTAAAATACAGGTATTTTCATCGAAATTTGCCTGGATTTTGTCCCTTACTTTCATGGCACAGTCTTTTCTGGTTTCGAAAAAGTTTTAGAAATATTTTTTAATGTTTTTTAAGCGTGTTTCTTTTCCTTTTTATGTTATAGTCAGATAGCTTCAATCATGGGGTCTTCAGCTGTATTTGTTGCCGACTATGTGTCAAATAGCGTGAGTAAGTTTTTACTTCGGTAAAATCATCTGGCATTAGACAGAGTAAAATACTAACTTTTAGTGGGTGGCATCTGGGTGCATTACAAGCTAATGGGTTAAAAAGAGAAACTGTCAGATAGTTTTGTTAACTTATTCAATGTCAGTACTCTTCCACTGATGAGTAAAATCGTCTGGCATTAGACAGAGTAAAGTACTAAAGTTGGTCACATCTGGGTACATTGTAAGCTAAGGGGTTAACAAGAGACACTGACAGATAGTTTTGTTAACTTATTAACTGACAGTACTCTTCCACTGATGAGTAAAAACATCTGGCATTAGACAGAGTAAAATACTAAAGTAGGCCACATCTGGGTGCATTGCAAGCTAATGGGTTAACCGTGACTATTACGTTGTTCACAAAATTCATCACTGACTGGTTTTCAAATCTTTATATAGCAAAAGAATTTTGTCAATTTTCAAATACTTTGCGTCATTGTTGCAATAATAAGTTGCGTTGCCATGTGTTACGCTGGACTCAATGTGAAAGTGGACAAAAAATATGAACCAGTTATCGACGAGAAAGGTATAGGGTCAGCTTGTTTCTAATTTTTTTTTCTTTTTGTCCAGTTTTACCAACGGTGATATAAGAACTTCAACATTTTTTTTCCCAGGGGACAAAAAAAATGGGCCTACATCAGTGTCTTGGTGGTCACTGACCTTTCAAATATGCAAACAGAAGAATTTTGGTAAGCAATTTTTGTCTTCCCCCAACAATAAAATGTTCCTCTTATTTCCTCTGTAATTTTTTTCTTTCCTTTTGCAGTTTGCTTTGTGATAATGAATTTTCTACAGGTGTGTACATGAACAGACTATGATTGATAGAGCTATCCAGTATAAATAAAGTTAGTTTAGTAACACTGGATCAATAAGAGATGATCCTTGCTGGACCTCTAGGAAGAACAGTTTAGAACTGATAGAGCTATCCAGTATAAATAATGTTAGTTTAGTTTAGGTTTCCTCCTGTAGTAACACAGGATTAAGAAGAGATGATCCTTACTAAACCTCTAGGAACAACAGTTTAGAACTGATAGAGCTATCCAGTATAAATAAAGTTAGTTTAGTTTAGGTTTCCTCCTGTGGTATCACTGGATCAATAAGAGACGATCCTTACTGGCCCTCTATGAAGAACAGTTTAGAACTGATAGAACTATCCAGTATAAATAAAGTTAGTTTAGTTTAGGTTTCCTCCTGTAGTAACACTGGATCAATAAGAGATGATCCTTACTGGACCTCTAGGAAGAACAGTTTAGAACTGATAGAGCTATCCAGTGTAAATAAAGTTAGTTTAGTTTAGGTTTCCTCCTGTAGTAACACTGGATCAAAAAGAGATGATCCTTACTGGACGTCTAGGAAGAACAGTTTAGAACTGATAGAGCTATCCAGTATAAATAAAGTTAGTTTAGTTTAGGTTTCCTCCTGTGGTATCACTGGATCAATAAGAGACGATCCTTACTGGCCCTCTATGAAGAACAGTTTAGAACTGATAGAACTATCCAGTATAAATAAAGTTAGTTTAGTTTAGGTTTCCTCCTGTAGTAACACTGGATCAATAAGAGATGATCCTTACTGGACCTCTAGGAAGAACAGTTTAGAACTGATAGAGCTATCCAGTGTAAATAAAGTTAGTTTAGTTTAGGTTTCCTCCTGTAGTAACACTGGATCAAAAAGAGATGATCCTTACTGGACGTCTAGGAAGAACAGTTTAGAACTGATAGAGCTATCCAGTATAAATAAAGTTAGTTTAGTTTAGGTTTCCTCCTGTAGTAACACTGGATCATTGATCATTAAGAGATTATCCTTACTGGACCTCTGGGAAGAACAGTTTAGAACTGATAGAGCTATCCAGTATAAATAAAGTTAGTTTAGTTTAGGTTTTCTCCTGTAGTAACACTGGATCAATAAGAGAGGATCTTTACTGGACCTCTAGGAAGAACAGTTTACAACTGATAGAGCTATCCGGTATAAATAAAGTTAGTTTAGTTTAGGTTTCCTCCTGTAGTAACACTGGATCAATAAGAGATGATCCTTACTAGACCACTATAGGAAGAACAGTTTAGAACTGATTGAGCTATCCAGTATAAATAAAGTTAGTTTAGTTTAGGTTTCCTCCTGTAGTAACATTGGATAAATAAGAGATCCTAACTGCTTCTCCCCATTTAGATATTCCACACAACTTACAGCAGTAATTTCTTTTTAATCTTCGCTGAAGAGCTGATGGGTTCTCAATTACCTCCAGTGAGTGAAATATTAATATTCATGTAGAAAAGTGTTCATAAATAAACACAACATAAATAAACATAATTAATTTGCTAGAGATGGGGCCGTGTCGAAGGTCATGGTACTTGAGTTGTAAATTTTAAAATTGTTATCCATATTTGTAAATTTTAAATATTGAAAACAAAAGTTATTTGTGGTTATAAACAAATTTTACTGTCATCATGCCTAAAAAAGCTTATGTCAAATATTTATACACTTGTGGATCCCAACAGGGTATTCAGGCATTCAAACTCTAACTATTACATTGTTATTATTAGGTGTTATTGGGTGAGTTTTGGGGGTTTTTGAGGCATGCTGATGATCACGTTGCACGACGAACCTGTTTTCATCGAAAATTCAAATTGAATTGACTTTGTATATATTTTCTTATCAAGTTTGTCCGAAGTCTTTTGGCTGGATCAACATTCATGATACCACAGGTAGGGAACAAGGAAGAATTTCGTTTTAAACTAATCGCCATATTTGTTTACATTTTTCAGGTAAAGCCAATCAGAATGCCTAAATTTTTAATACTTCATGTAAAATTGTATATATTGTACTTTTAATCAAAATTTTTATGCATTCTGATTGGGTTACTGAAAATGTAAACAAACTTGCTGATTGGTTTAGAACGAAATTCTCACTTGTTTAGGTAGCGTGAAATTGTGTTTTTGCATCTGTCTGTTTCCCTTGATACAGGTAATTCGATTAAGGTTGTCTTCTGAAGGTCAACTTAAAACTGCTAAACCTCGACTTCTACGACGGAAAGGCATATTTGATTTACATGAAATTCATTTATATTGTATCTATTTGGTCATAACGTTTTGCATGCAGTTATAACGTCATGAAGACGGAGTTAAAAGTTAAAAAGTTAAATGAATAAAGAAATATATTTATATTTCGTTTGCTTTTCGGTCGTACAAGTCGAGGTTTTTGAGTTTTATGTTTTGAACTTTAGAGGAAAACCTTAATTAGCCTATCTCACGATGACAAATATCCGCCATTTTTGGGGTACTTTCAATTTTCTTAAACGCGTTTAAACAATAATAGCAATGTAAGAACATTTTTTTAAGAGTCCATTGACCATTTGAACAATAAATTAAGCTTGAAATTAAAGACTGCTGCCCTGACAAGGTCCTGCGCTCGCAATATAAAAAAGTACCCCGAAATAACGGCACATTCGTCATCGTGAGAAAGGCTAATTGAATTAGCTGTAATACAAAGCTGTGACAGTGTGGCACTGATCTGATACTGCACTGGATATGGCAACGATACTATCGAAAAATGCTCATATACAACGTGTTGCTATTTCACAGATTATTGGACTACTGGCAAATCCTCTCATTGTAAAATACGGATCCTATCACATAATTCTGAGCTCATTTTATATCAAGGTTGGTTGTAATCTTGTAATATCTGAAGTCGACCAATTTTTATATCTGGACATATCTTAGAGAAATCCTCAAAACCAGGGTTTTGTCCTGAACTTTTGAAAGAATGCATAATATATTCTATTAACACAGATCCCTCCCTTCCTTGTCGTTGTCAATTGCAACGAAATTTCTTTGCATTGTGGAAACCCTGCTCAAAACATCTTACTCAAAACTATTCGCAAATATTGGATTAATAGATACACTTTTTTCAGCTTGTAATGGCTGTTTTGCTGTACTTGAGTGGACCAAATCAAATTCTTATTTTGGCTGTTTTCTTTGTGCTTGACAAGTAAGCTGGTTGCATTTTGAAACTCTATATTAACTCTATAAGACCTCAAAAAGGAACGCCTTGAAATGAATACACGCTGTCCGGTAAAACTGAGTTAGTTTAGTTTAGGTTTCCTCCTGTAGTAACACTGGATCAATAAGAGATGATCCTTACTGGACCTCTAGGAAGAACAGTTTAGAACTGATAGAGCTATCCAGTAAATAAAGTTAGTTTAGTTTAGGTTTCCTCCTGTAGTTACACTGGATCAAACACTGTAGCACTAGGAAGAACGGTGTAAAAACCTCAGCACGTGAACCAATTCAAAAATGCCGTGTTCTTTTCTCAAATTCCAGGAGTATTCCAAGCGCGACTTTCTCCCAGTTCAATATGCCTCTCTCTGATATTATTGACGATGATCTTGCGAAGCATAAACGAAGGTAGGAAATAACTATTAACACGGGCCAAATGTTTTACATCATAGAGAATATCAAAGTTGATATCTCGTCATTCGGTTTATAAAAAACACCTATTTGGTGTAGAAATAGACATTTCCTGACGAATGGCGTAGCCAGCCCCACAATTTAGCCATTCTATGCTAATATTTTTGTGTTCATTGATTGTGAAAACAATGAATTTTTAAAGAAATGAATAATGATAATAACACAAAATTTGCATAGAATGAATAAATCATCAGGCTGGCTACGCCACTGTTTTTTGAATTCCCTTGAGTTCTCACAAAACAATAGTTTGGAAATTAGGCGGGAAATATAATCTATTCATAGTGGGATAGTTTTTAATTTTTTAATGACCGAGAACAAATTCTTGAAGTGTCTATTTGAAGACGCGTTAAGGTTTTCTAAAAAGAAGAACCATTGAAAACTGCAAAATAACTCCCTATATTTAGCGTTCTTTTAACCGAGTGCCAGTTGTTTTTGGAGTATCTTCGAGCCACTGAACTCAATTTTATTAGCTGCAGTTATAACATGCATCGATTTTTGCGGAAAAAAGCTTGCGTGATGTTAGCGTCTCATTTTGCTGCAGTTTTCACAGGCAGTTATCATTCCAGATAAGGAAATTATATTGAGGTCTGTGCTGATCCAGCGCAAAGCTCCATGCGGGGGTACTAATTCCGTACGGCATTTTTGAAAACCCGGGTATTGTGTAGGAGCAAAGTTGCCGGCCATTATGTCATGGCCTGTTGACCTCGGATGGTCATTGTTAGTTATGCGCATGCGCGAAATTTGATTGAGTGGAATTGGTACGCATCAACATCCTCATTGGCTGAGACAAAATTTTGTATTTTAGTAAGGCCGTTAGCAATTTAACTGTCATTTCGCAAACTCTCGTAAAACTAGTAGAAAACTATGGAAATTATTCCAAAAAACAAGAGAAATTAAACAATACAGATTCTGTTCATAGACTGTTCCCATCATCAGTTTAATTTCTAAAGGTTTTTACATTCAGCATTAATTTGAAGTACACAAATTCACTATATTTATTGTGAAACAATAATTTACTTATCTAAATGTTTTATGCACGATATTTAATATTAATAATAATTAAACAAACTTTATGACAGTTTATTCTATAACTCCTACAATAATATATCAATTTGAATAATGAAATGTGTGCAGACACTTATTGAAAATGTGACATGTGACAAAAAATGCGGGAATTATTGTGTGATGCGATGGGACGCCATGTTGTGTTTTGTTTTGTGCATGTAGAAATAAACGGTTCTAAACGTACAGTTATTGTAAGAATGAAGGTTAAATCATAAATTTTAATTTGGAAAACGGAAGTGTGTGTGTATGAATTTAAATTGGTGTAAACGGAAGTAACAAAAAGCTTCCTCGTACGCACTGAGTATAAAACACTGGAATCAAAGTCTTATTTAAGTGGAAGTTCCGATAATTCCGAAATCTTTGCAATCACGATTGAGGTCTTTGTTTCAAAACTAAACTAAATGTTTTGTATTCTAAATAACAGTCATCAATCTACGATTCTGACTGTTGTAATTTTGAAGATTCTCAAAATTTTTATTTACATGCTGATATGAAATATATATATTCAAATAGGCTAATAAAGCAAATACAACCTCATTCCGAAGGCTTTACACTACACTAAATAAAATTTACAATATGGTGTCCTTAAATACAAAGTTCAGCCGAAGGCATGGTAACTAAACTTGTTAATATTCATAAGTATAAAATAAATTCCTAATAAATTAGCACATTCTCCCCTACATAATAATATAACTAAATTTATAACTTACTAAAATAAAGTTAGATAGTCATAGCGTCTCTAATGTTCTTCAGATACTCAGATTTCCAAATCTAACTAAATGTTAATCTATCCGGTGCCCTTCTTTGCCGCTCTGATCGACGCAGAGGTTGGGGTTGATGATCGATCCTTGTGGCACCGTCTGGTTCGGCGCCTTCCGCATCTTGCGACTGGGTTTCCTCTCCGGCTTGATTTGGGTCGACTTCTTTACTATAGTTTCCTTCCAAACCAACAGTACCGAACTCATTACCAGGTGGAGCTAGATGTTTAATTGACACTGTATCCTCCCTTCCATCGGGAAATCGCACATGAGCATATTGCGGGTTCGCTTCCAATAAATCAACTTCATCAACCAATGGGTCATACTTTGAATTTCTTAGGTGTCGTTTCAATAACACTGGACCAGGGGTTGTCAACTAGGATGGCACCGAAACTCCACTGGTCGATTTACGTTGATAAGCAAACATGCGTTCATGCGGAGTCGCATTCGTTGCTGTACAAAGTAGGGATCTTATGGAATGTAGGCATCCAACAGCACTTCCTGCCAACTGGTAGTAGGCAGTCCTTTCGTCTTGAGTGCTAAGGTAATGGCTTTCCATAACGTCCCATTCAGACGTTCAACTTGCCCATTACACGATGGATTGTAACTTGTCGTTCTACTAGTTGAAATCCCTTTCTGCAGTAAAAAATTCTTTAGCTCCGAACTCATAAATCCCGAACCACGATCTGTATGGATAAAATTTGGCATACCAAACATAGAGAACAGTGTTGAGAGACATCTTATGACGGTTCGAGCACTAACATCTTCACATGGAAATGCGAAGGGGAATCTAGAATACTCGTCAATGATAGTTAACAGAAATCGACATCGATTATCACTGGGCACGGGACCTTTAAAGTCTATGTTCAATCTTTCGAAAGGTTGAGTAGCTTTTATCAAGTGTGAAGGCTGCGGAGAATAGTATTGCGGTTTACACTCTTGACATTCCTTACAAGCTTGTGTCATACTCTTTACATCCTCTACTGAAAAGGGTAGATTTCGACTTTTAACGAAATGTGTCATACGAGTCACGCCCGGATGGCACAATGATCTATGCAGCTCGTACAGCTTATCAACTGTAAGAGACATACTTTTCACTCTTGAAAGGGCGTCCGCTGGTATGTTCTCCTCCCCCGCTCGATATATTATATCAAAGTTATACATCGACAATTCTATTCTCCACCTCATTACTTTATCGTTCTTAATTTTGCTATGATGTTTAGTATCAAACATGTAGGCAACCGACTTTTGGTCTGTTATAAGCTTAAAATGCTTTCCTGTGAGATAATGCTTCCACTTACGTACTGCTTCTACTATAGCTGCTGCTTCCTTCTCGATAGCTGAGTGCCTCAATTCTGGGCCATTCAATGTTCTTGAGAAGAAAGCTACTGGACGTCCTTGTTGGTTCAATATAGCGGAGAGCGTATGGTCTGAAGCGTCAGTTTCTACTTCGAAAGGGAGAGTTTCGTCAATGGTTCCCACCACTGCATTTTCTATATCCTCTTTAATCAAACTAAATGCCCTATGAGCTTCTTCTGACAAAGGAAATACGGTATTTTGGGATAAAGGTCTAATCTTCTTTGAGAAATCTTTAATCCACTGAGAATAATATGAGAAAAGACCGACTACTCTTTTTTGTTACTTCAAATTTTCTGGGGGGGGTAACTCTCGCAAAGGTTTCAACCTTTCCAAATCTGATCTAATTTCCCCTTTTGAAACCATGCTACCGAGTATACTTATAGTTCTTGTAGAGAACACACATTTACCTTCATTGAAGACCAAGTTTCTCCTCTTAGCTGCTTCCATAAACTTTTCGAGGTTCTCATCATGGTGAGCCTGATCCCTACCACAAATCGTAATGTTATCCAAATAGGCGAATATATCTTCTAAGTTTTCCTCAGAAATGAAGTTGTCCATCGTTCGTTGAAAGGCTGCAGCTCCGTTAGTCACCCCAAAAGGAATTCTGCGAAATTGATACAGTCGACCGTTCGCTTCAAAGGCAGTATACTTCTTTTCTTCCTGTTTAATAGGTACCTGATGATACGCGCTCTTAAGATCAACTGTACTAAAAACAGTATACTTGGCAATTTGATTAACTGTGTCATCAATTCTTGGCATAGGGTAAGCATCGAGTTGGGTAAATCTATTTATTGTTTCGGAATAGTCTATAACCAATCGTCTCTTATGATTTTCATTTCGCGTTACTACAACTTGTGCCCTCCAAGGGGAATCGCTTGGTTCAATTATACCCTCTTCGAGTAATTTATCAATTTCAGTCGAAATAAATTTCTTATCTTCCATGCAATACCTTCTTGATTTCGAAGCGATTGGTTTACATTCAGGTGCAAGAAACTGAAATAGTGGTGGGGGATCAGTTCGCAACGTAGATAAACCACATATATTCACTGGTGGAGCCGTCCCTCCGAAACATATTGTTATACTCTCATGCTGCTCTTGCCAATTCTGTCCTAGGATGACGTCGGTGCATAAGTTTGACAAAACATATAACTTAATACCTGTGTAGACTCTACCCTTTAAAATAATGTCGGTGTAGCAATATCCTTCAATCTTAGATGAATGAGAGGAAGAGGCCATTGTTACTTTTTCTTGAGTGGGATATACCACTAACCCTAGGGATTTAGCCATACCTGGATGAATAAAATTATGTGTACTTCCCGAATCTACCAATGCCTGAACAGACTTCCCATCAATTAAGATTCCTACGCAAGCTTTCTTCAATGATTTGGCAGCCGAATGTTTAGATGAAGCAAGCGTTAGGTAGGATGAATGTGATTCAATTGCAGCTTCATGTGTAGATTTACAGACTCTCTGAAAATGACCTCTCTTTTTGCATTTATGACAGTGGGCCTCCCTTGCAGGACATAGTGCTCGGGGGTGTAGTCTGTTGCCACAGAAGAAACACTTTGTATTCTGCGATGCTAACGCTACATACCTTTCAGTAGAGTCCTGACATTTACTACCTGGGATGTGATACTCTTCCCGTATCTTTGGTGGAGTTGATTCTGGCAGATTACTTTGCTGAGAGTTACTACATTCTGTAGTTGTTGCAGCTGAGATAGAAAAATTATTGTACGTTTCAGATGTCCGTTGAGC